CAGAAGCAGAAACACAGGTGCTGAGGGAACTAGTTACTGAACACACAGATGCCGAGGCAGTTTAGGCACCGACAGAGTTCAGCAGGAATTTTGTGAATTGCAGTGTAGGCTCCAACTGGGGTTTAGGCACCTAAGTAAATACTGTGAATCTAGGCCTTACCGACAGAGAAACTGAGCTAAGGCGGGGGCTTGACTGAGGCTTCACTTCCTCAGTGCAGGTGTTCGCAGTCTGCTCATGCTCACTGCGACTTTTCTGAGCAGTCTTCGAACCACACTGTCAGGCAGGGCATGTTTTGATATATCACCGGCCTTGACATTTCTAAGTGGGCCTGAGAAATAATCTTCCCCCCTCCCCCTACACACAACCAATTCCTGACCCCCACTAGGCACTGGGATTGCCTGAGAATTTAGGGGAGAATCACTGAGATGAGTCACTGGGACACAGTTTAAACAGAACTAAATGACACACAAGCTGTGGGCATATAGGAGCTTTAATTCTTCTTTACCCTCCACCCCCTACACAGCCAAGCTGCTTGATCCTTGCAACCACAGTGATAGATGTACATCAGTTACATTTACAAGACTCCCTGTATAAAAGATATCTAACGTGGCTTGGTTTTTATTATGGAGAGGGACGAGAAGGAGAAAGGGGGGTGTTGCTTGGCTGAGGAGGAAAAGATGGTAAGGAATGGACATAATTCTTTCCCAGTTGCCAAAGCCTGTGTGTTCTCCTCCCTGATCCTCCACCTCCTTCCCCGCAGATAACAGGACCCTGGATCTTCATTTTGAAAATATGGTCACCCTACCCCTGCCTCCGTAGATTTCAAGAAATCTGCTGGAATGGGCCAGGCCCCCCCAGCCGTTGTCCATTCTGTATGAGAACCAAACCCTGCTCCCCCCACCCTGCAACGATTAAAAGGAAACTGTGTGAGCTGGAACTTGTAGAGTTTCCTGCCCCCCATGTGGATTTTCCCTACATGGGATGACCTTGCCTTAGGGCACACAAATCATACCATGGTTTACATATACCGGTACTATTAAAGCCATACATCCTGCTAGCATGGGTGTAGTTATACCTGTATAAGAGTGTATCGCTTATTCCTGTATGGAAAAGGAAACAAGCGTTCCTGGCATCAGGCACCTTTATACCAGTACAACTTGTATTCACAAGTTTTTTGCTGATATTTTGCCAATATAACTATTTTGTTAAAAAACAAAAAACAACAAACCTCACTCCTCCCCAACACAGATCAGTACAAAAACTATCTGTAGAGCAGGCCTTAAAAACGTCTCCTCAACATTCTTCCTGTATAAAATCCCTTCTGTTTTTCTACCTTGTGATTGTAGGAAGCCAGTTTTATTACGTTGCTGGGGGTTTATATTTCTCAGACGGTTCTGTTCTGAATTGTTCGAGCATGCTTTAGCAGGAATGCGTTCCAAATGCAAAAATGACTAATTCTTACCTTGTAATCCAAGGCAGCCTCTTCGATGGGCACCAGAGCGTGGTCTCTGTGAGTAGGGGACTCTCTGCACACCACACAGATGGGGGTTTGATCCACTTCACAGAAGAGTTTCAAAAGCTCCTCATGTTCTTCACACACTTTCTTCCCCCTTGGCTCTGGGAATTTTTTGGCTATTTCAACTACATTCCTCAGCTGCCGGTTGGGCTGGAATTCTCCTTCCCGGAACCATTCTCTGCACTGAGGGCAGAAAGGGCGGAGGAAGAACAAGCGCCACAACCTCCAACGCTGGCAGTACCCAGTGATGCAGCCTTGGCAGAAGTTGTGCCCACAATTGAGAATCACCGGATCCTTAAAATAATTCTGGCAAAGGGAACAGATAACAGCCTCTTGGAGATCTTTTACCGGGCTTCCTTTGGCCATGGCACCTACGAGAAAGAGCAAAGTGACTTTCACTTTCACTTTGCTCAGAAATGTGTCTATCCCCGATTGAAGCTGGCCTCCGCCCTTCCTGCAGCTGCCTGCCTTCTGCCTCCTTGCTGATCTGTTGTGAGTGTGTTCGCTGGGTCGAAAGGAGAAAATATAAGGAGACGGGAGAAATAAAATATATCAAACTCCTACATTTTTACGGACTAGACTTTAAAAAAAATACTGTCCCATACAGTCAAACAGAATTAAGTCAGTCAAGTCACTGAAGAGATACAAGCATTTTCTAAATAAAAGATCTGATCATAAAATCCCTCATTCCATGCCCACAAAAACTTTAGAGGGGCCAACAGAATTGGCAGAATTATGCCATTATACTTTCCTTCAACCATCATAGTTAGAAATTATTTAAAACAAATTCAAAACAGGATCTGATGAATTAGAAGCAGATCAGAGTTGCAATGTGAGTTTGATTGGGACTGGAACTTTGCCAAAGTTCTGGTGTTCTCGATCTAGTCAGATCCATTTCTAATACAAATAATAACAGATGTAATTTTATTACTGTATGTTGCATTTAAAAACTTGCTATGAGTTATCTAAACAATTAAATTAAAAATCCAGAACTACAGAGTGCCATGTTAAGTCAGCTTTTTAATTTATTTGAAACATTCAACTACATTCATTGTAGTTGCATCCGAAGAAGTGAGGTTTTTACTCACGAAAGCTTATGCCCAAATAAATCTGTTAGTCTTTAAGGTGCCACCAGACTCCTTGTTGTTTTTGTAGATACAGACTAACACGGCTACCCCCTGATACTTAACTACATTCAGTATTGCCAATGCCATGCATCCAAAAATCATGAATCAGCCATAAAAAAAAAAGATAAAATTTTTGCCTTCTGGTTACTGAGCAGTTAGATAACTCTTGTGTCGTGTTTTCAGTAGCATTGGTTGAAACAGAATTTCTGTTCCATGCGAAGTTATGACCTTTCAAATTTTCTTTTGATTCTGAATCAGAATTTTAAAAAATTGAAATTTCCCATTAAATGAAAATGTTGAAAAAAAATTCATTTTGGGTCAATCAACACATTTCATTTTGATGAAATCCAAATGTTTCATTCTGCTTTTGACTTAAAGAAGATAAAATTTCAAAATGAAAAGATGTTTTGAAACAAAAATTTGAACCAATCCATTCTGAAATGTCAAAAGGAACATTTTGAGTTTCAGGTAAAAAATGTTGAAAAGGAGTCATACAAAAAGTGGAAAGTAGGTCAAATTATGAAGAATGAATATAAAAAAACCAACACAAGCCTGTAGGGATAAAAGGTTAAGGCACAAAACAAGATTAAACCAGCTAGGGACATGAAGGGTAACAAGACGACATTTTACAAATGCATTAAAAGCAAGAGGCAGATCAAGGACAGAGCAGGCCCATTACTCAAGGAGGCGGGAAAGACAACAACAGACAATGAAGCAATGACTGACATGTTCAATGCCTTTTTTGTTTCAGTTTTCACAAAAGAGGTTAACTGTCATCGGACGACTAACATAGTGACCATCAGTGTAAATGGAGTAAAATCTGCAGCTCAAATAAGAAAAGAACCAGTTAAGAATTACTTAGGCCTGGTCTACACTAGAATTTACTGTCATATAGCTATGTCACTCCGGGGTGTGAAAAATCCATATCCCTGAGAGATGTAGCTAAACTGACCTAATTCCCAGTGTAGACAGTGCTAGGTCGACGGAGGAATTCTTCCATTGACCTACCTGCCACCTCACAGGGAGGTGGATTACCTCCTATGCCAACAGGAGAGTTCCTCCCAGCACCCTGGGGAGTGTCTACACTAAAGTGCAGCTGTGCTGCTGTAGCATTGTAAGTGTAGACAAGTCCTTAGACAAGTTAGCTGTCTTCAGATTAGCAGGGCCTGAGGAAATACATCCTAGAGTACTTAAGGATCTGGCTGAAAAGTTCTGAGCCATTAGCAATTATCTTTGAGAGCTCATGGAGGACAGGGGAGATCCCAGATGACTAGAAAAGGGCAAATATAGTACTTATCTATAAAAAGGGGAATAAGGACAACCAAAGGAGCTAATGTGATATATCTCAACTTTAGTAAGGCTTTTGATACTGTCTCACATGACCTTCGCATAAGCAAACTAGATAAATATAGTTTAGACAAAACTACTTACTATAAGGTGGGTACACAACTGCTTGGAAAACGGTACTCTGAGAATAGTTATCAATGGTTCACAGTCAAACTGGAAGGGCATATTGAGTGTGATCCTGCAGGGAGGGATCTGTCCTAGGTCTGTTCTATTCAATATTTTCATAATAGATTTGGATAATGGTACAGAGTACACTTATAAAGTTTGCGGACAATACCAAGCTAGGAGAGGTTGCAAGTGCATTGGAGAACAGGATTTGAATTAAAAATGATCTTGACAAACTGGAGAAATGGTCTAAAATAAATAGGATGAAATTCAATAAGGACAAATGCAAAGTACTACAGTATGGAAGGAAAAATCAGTTACACAAATACAAAATGAGAAAGGCCTGCATAGAAAGGAGGAGAGCAGAAAAGGATCTGGGGGTTATAGTGGATCACAAACTAAATATGAGTCAACAGTGTAACACTGTTGCCAAAAAAACAAAAAACAAACAAACAAACACATCCCAGAATGATATTCTAACAGGAATGTTGTAAGCCAGAAATGAGAAGTAATTCTTCTAATCTAATAAGCACTGATAAGGCCTCAACTAGAGTACTGTGTCCAGTTACGGGCACCACACTTGGGGACAAATTGGAGAAAGTCCAAAGGACAGCAACAAAAATGATTAAAGGTCTAGAAAAATAACCCATGAGGAAAGTTTATAAAAAACAGGTTTGTTTAGTTTGGAGAAGAGAAGACTGAAGAGGGGAATGATAACAGTCTTCAAGCACCTAAAGGGTTGTTTTAAAGAGAAAATAAATTGTTTTAAAGGGTGATAAATTGTTCTCCTTATCCACTGAGGACAGGACAAGCAGCACTGGGCTTAAATTGCATCAATGGAGATTTAGTTTAGACATTAGGAAAATCTTCCTAACTGTCAGGGTGGTTAAGCATTAGAACACAGATTACCTAGGGAGGTTGTGGAATCTCCATCACTGGAGGTTTTTAAGAACAGGTTAGACCAGGGGTTGGCAACCTTAGAGAAGTGGTGTGCCAAGTCTTCATTAATTTAAGGTTTGGCGTGCCAGTAATAAATTTTACATTTACAGGGCCCCCCAACGGAACCCCAGACTGACAGCGGGCTGAGAGGGGCCGGTGGCCAGGACCCCGGCTGGCAGAGGGCTGGAACCCCAGACCAGCAGCGAGGTGAGCGGGACCAGTGGCTGGTATCCCAGGCTGGCAGCAGGCTGAGTGGGGCCAATGGCCAGGACCCCGCCTGGCAAGGGGCCGGTGGCCAGAACCCCAGACCATCAGCAGGCTGAGCGGGGTGGTGGACAGAACCCCAGACCAGCAGCAGCTCACTCGCTGCCAGTCTGGGGTTCCACCGGCTCCTGCCAGCTGGGGTCCCAGCTGCTGGCCCCGCTCAGCCCGCTGCCGGCCCGGGGTTCCGTTCACCCAGGTCAGCAGCGGGCTGAGCAGGGCCGGCGGCCGGGACCTCGGCTGGCAGCAGCGTGCCAGTAAAAATCAGCTTGTGCGCCTCCTTTGGCACGTGTGCTACATGTTGCCAACCCCTGGGTTAGACAATCAGAGAGGATGGTGTCTGTGCAGAGAAACTTGGACTCTCTAGCAGGAAGTATCAGCACCTAAGGCAACTCTCTGTTAACCATGATTTAGGGCTTGTCTACACTGCCACTGTGGAGGAGGGCGACGGGGGGGCTCAGTTGAGGAGCCAGGACGAGGGGGGAGGGGGCGACTCGGCACCTTACCTGGCCTGCGGTGGCCGGCGGAACATGCTGGAGCGGGGCGGGGACGCTACCCCCTACAGGGGCGAGGAGCCGGCCGGGGTCCCGTCCAAGCCGATAAACTTTACATGGCCACTTGTGCGGCCCCGAGCCGCTCTCCCCCGCCGCCGCTGGGGTCCGGAGCCCTCCCGTCTATCTCCTGGGGGAGCAGGCCCCTTGCCAGCCCCCCTTGCCCATCCAGTGCCCCTACTCACCAGCTCCAGGAACTGGAAGCCGGCCACCACCCCCTCCCTCCAGGCTTGTGCCGGCATTACAGCAGCAAGCCTGGGAGAGAGGAGGAATGCCACATGCTTGGGGAAGAGGCGGGGCCAGAGCGGGGATTTGGGAGGGAGCCAATGGGGGAAGGAGGGGGCGGAGTCGGGGTGGGTGGGGGCAAGAGCCCTTCCGGGAGGGCAAAATTGCTTGTTTGTCCAGTGTCCCGACCGCACATTGGTCGGGACGCGGGACAAACAAGCAAATATCGGGACAGTCCCGATAAAATCGGGATGTCTGGTCACCCTAGGTGTCACATTAGTTATAAGGGAGAGGGTTTGTCTGGAAAAGTTCATACAAATACACCCAGACCATGATCTTTCAGGCCTCCTGTAGTTGATGAAGCTAAAATGCACCTGTCAGCACTTTAATACAGGGGAGATTTACCAGGTGAAGTGGACCCCACCGCTTATCTCTTAGGGGGTTGGCAATGGGGGGAGATGTTTAAATCAGAGAATAACCCCCCAATCTCCCCTCTGCTCTGTGCTGGCCTCTCTGCTCCGCTCTCCTGTGTCTCCCCTAAAGGCAGCACTACACGACCGCTTATGTCGATAGAACTAGTCGATGGAACTGCATCTAGTGTGGACGCGCCCTGCCGGGTTTAGGGTTTGGGGGCAATGTGTGACTTGGCCACGTTTCACCTCCACTCCCCCCACCTGTCTACAGAAGCCTCATTTCCCAGCCTTCACCTACTGCGCAGAGACAAGGGGGGACCCCACTGAGCCCACCAGGGCCGGATTAACTTTTTGTGGGCCCGGCTCCAAACATATTTGTGGGCCCCCCTGGGGAATGATTGTAAAAGGGGCCAGGGGCAAAAGCACAGTGGGGCAGGAGCTAGGGTTGGTCTCTGGAGCCCGGGAGGGGCCAAGGGTAAACTGCAAGTGCAGCAGGGCTGGGGAGG